ACAAAAATCGTATGCTTAGAAAATGTTGCTGAATTTCCAGTGAGCATCGTGCGGTCTTTGATGGAAGATTTGTACGTTGTTGAGGAGTATTATGTGACACCGGAAGATGCTGGTTGTGAATACATATCACGAATGAGGGTGTTCATGCTGCTTTGCTTGAAAGGACAGGGCTTTCCTATATATGTTCTTTCTCAAAGCCAAACCAAGCTTCCGATTTTTTGTTCACACCACCACCCTACCGCAGAACTCCGTTCCATTGAGTCTACAGCCAGACTTTGATTCATGAAGGAATGAATGAATCACGTATCCCTAGTTGCGATGTTGTGTGTCTACCCCTACGTTTTCGAATACTCTTTTGCAACTTGACTGATCAGTTTCCCCTGAACAGGACATGTTTCTCATGTCTTTGACATACGGTTTGCTTTGGACCAAGTGAGCAGTGCAGTGCGGCAAGCGCGGCACCTGTGCTGTGATTCCGTTCAAGCAGGTGACTGCTTACTTGCTTCGCCGTATGAGGTTCGGGAAGCTGAAGCACAGTTGGCTACTGTTCCTTGCTGACTGATTCCTTTTGAAAACTTATTTGGGAACCTTCTTTCAACCATTTTGCTTGTGCCTTTAATTTGCCACCAAGAGTTTTTGGGAATATCTGACGAGGCTTGTTCAAGTGATTCAGAGGAAGCCAATCCTAGGCTCGAAAGATTGCCTTACGACCGCCATCCCCAACGACCTTCTACAATTCTTTTAAGTATCTCCTCACTGAACATGAACTTCGACGGTTGGACGGGTATGAGAGGGCATGGTATGAGAGGTATGGACATCATGCCCATCAGAACCGCCATGCTTTTTTTTATCTAGGTGATGACCCCACTGCCAGACGTTGCTGGACAGGCAATGCATCGTTTTGTTTTCCTTCGTTGAGAAAGTCCATGGGCTTGATTTGGCACGCCCAATCACAAACAATTTTAGTTGGGAAAGAACGCCTCACTTTGTTGGGTTGGCCGCTTTTCCCATGCTTAGCTGGTGCAGCTAGGCTTGATACAGAAATATCAGTGAAGGCGCCCAAGCACAATTCACTGAACAGATTTGCTGGTAATGCCTACCATGTCAGCGGGTATGGAATGTGGCTCATGGTGTGCCTCGCATGCCTTCGCCTCGAGAACTAACAGCGCACGGGATATTGCGAAAAATTGCGAACAATGTTGGGCGAATTTGCATGACTGAAGAAAGCAAAGGCTTTCTAAATCATTTTCTCATTCTCATTCGCTCTCCTTCTTATATTGCTGCCCATTTCCAATCAAACTGTTTAGGTGGATAGAAGCCTTTAGACGCTGGTTGTTAATTAGTAGTTGGGCTAGGGAGTTAGCTCTTCTGCTATGGCAGTGCCTCCAGGGCTGTTTATGTTCCCCCCCGGCCAGCCGCCTTCCGGCCCCCCTAAAGCACCAGGGCGCACCCCGCCACCAGCAACGCTGCCTCCCACCATCCCAGCAGCACCGGGAGCAGCGCCTCCCGTAGCACTGGTACATCAGACAGGCATGATGTTTCCTCCAGGGGTTCCTCACGCCGCTGCAGCGTTGGCGACAGCCCCGCCGCAACCATCTGGGCGCGCAAGGATGCAGCCAGGAGCCATTGTCAAACCTACATTGTAATGTGCGGTTTGGCACGGCAAGGGGAAAGAAGTGAAAGGATAGGATGGTAAACACACGGTAATCAGCGCATTCCCCCAATATTATGAATTCATAAGGTGCTGACACAAAGCCCTAAACACATATGGTTCAGCAAACACGGGAGTAGCAAGCATAGCTCTTTATGGTGCCTATGTCATGTCTGGCTAGATTCTAAGATGCTATTTATTGTTTGTACATTCATTGATGGATACTTGTACTAGAGAAATTGTCTCTTGACATGCATTGCGCATACAAAGACACGCGGCATGCATGCCAGATGCAACTGGCCAAAAAGATAAGGTTCAGTTACAATGTCTACCAATAAGTACGCAAGTAGGCAACACCCAAGTAGGCACACGCGCGCATACTTACTGACACGCACACACACACAGAGCATCTAAGTCTATGGGGGGTCGGCAGTGCTGCTGCTTTCTTTAAACAACTTTTGGGTCTGTCAGGAGGGCCCGGCACACGTGGCCGAGATCCAACGTCGACGAAGGCCAAAGCTGTGACCGGGGAGAACTTCCCTCCCAAGGTTTGCAGGATGGAGGACTTGGCGCTGGAAGATTTGAAAATGGTTCTCTTCCAGATGGACAGGTTGCAGTGTAATCTGAAGCCGTTGGAAAAGTTGACGCTGGATGAGCACATCATGCTGTTTGAGTATGCAATGGGGTGTGAGCGCACAGAATCCCTTGGTGGTATTCGGAACCGTGGGGCTCTCAGTCTTTTGAAAAGTGGGTTGTCAGGAGACAAAGTTGGACGTTCGGAAAATCCAGTAGGACTCTGCAAGCTTCCCCAAAGCCCGCAATGCAAATTAAAGAAATTCCAGCGCCATCGCTGAGGCGCGAAGTGGCGCGAGCATATGGCATCGGAGCATGAGCGTCGCAAAATCAGTTTGGAAGAGCACATTGACAGGCCCGTGTCCAAGATCCTTGAGATTATGCGCGCCAGGCGTGCAGAGGCAATTGCAGCTGCAGCTGCCCAAGTCCCAGCCCTCCACACAACCCCGGATGGACAGTCGCAAGCTCTTTCTGCGGGCGGGAGAACGAAATGGATGCCAGCTGGAAGTACATGGGCTATTGGCCAAGTGCATGACTCTCAGAATTTGATGGTCAAACATTGGGCAACCATGGCCAACCATTCGCAGTATATTCCATTACTTTATGGGCCTCTGATGGAAACAGTTGTTGAATCTTCACTTTTTTGGTGGCAGTCATTGCATCATCGCTGCTAACCTCATGTTTTCCTGAGCAGGTCCCTAGCCTATAGCACGTTAATTTTCTCCAAGGCCAACTGGGGAGTATTTTGTGAGCGATGGAAGCACCACCAGCATGTGGGTAACCGATTTCATGCGAGATGCTCCAGCGTCTTCGGCCCCGCCGCATGAACCTACTCCAGTGGTACCGCGTCCACCGTCTGAGAATGGTTCTGTCGAAACTTGGTTTCGCTCAACCGACAAGTCAGGTTTGATTTCCACCATTCCAAGGCTTTAATCTACGATGACAGGGAGCGATGGCACCTAGCCAACCAGCCAACAAGTAACAAGAAGATCCATATTTATTAGTGATTAGTGCAAAAATATTGATACATACATACATACATACATACATACATATATATATATACATATGTTATGGTCTGCTTAAGCTCAAGCCCTTCTATTTGATTTTCTGACGCCACTTCGCGACTTCAGGCCCCGTCTTTGCGTTCAGATGGCAAGTCAACTGTGAAGTCAGGCGCCCCTACTGAACGGAATGAAGGTGATGTGCCCATGTCGCCTGAACCCGAAGATGATGAGATGGGAGCGGAGGAGAATCCAGCATACATTATTAAACTATAGATGCGCGATAGCTCGCAGCTCAAATAACTTTTCTATGTTGTGGAGATCGCCTTGGATGTTTGTATACTGGGCCCGCCATGCAGTGCAGTAGTTTCTAGTCGTTTGAATTTTTGGTGTGCGATGTCTTCCTTTTCCTTGGTTGGCAGGACCCTGTTCCTGAGCCAGATCCTGAGCCAGTGATTAAGTTGATGCAGTCCACCAAGAATGGGCGATGGTATGTTTGGCACAAGGAACTCCAGAAGTCAGCATGGCTCCCTGCCCGTCAGAATGCAGTGTGGGAAGTCATGGAAGATCCTTCTTGTGGTGAGCCGTATCTTAAAGACCATGGTTCTTCTGCTGGCGCTGGTGTGCTTTGGGTCGCTAAGCTTCAAAACTGTTGATATATATATATATATATATATATGGAGGGTGTGTTATCAGATAGACCCCGATTCACCAATTTTTGGTGGGTGCCACAATTTGAAAAATATTCAAGAACCTAAGTCCATAACATTTTATGTCACGTGATCATGTCCACGCCGCAGTTTTTGCAGGAAGACCATTCGCATCTAGTAACTTCAAAAATGCCTTCGAGGCCCGCATGAAATAGGTGCAACCCTAGGGTCAGGATGACATAGCTTGGCAGCTGCTTAGATTTGTCACCAGTCAATGGCCTTGCCTAGCTTCAGTCCAAGGTGGACAAGCTTTTCGGCAAGCACACCGTGAGCGAGAACGCATCCACTGCGCCTTCGGCATCCACCCGTGCTCCAACTACAGCCCCACCACCGAGCCCTGCTGAGACCATTTCAACAGCTGCTGACCCAAATGGCCCAAACACCCTTACGACATCCGAGGTGTCTGGGTTCATTGTTTTGGTCCCAATATTGCGGGCGTTGTTTTGCGCTTTACTTTTGTGGTCAGGTCAGCCTACACCCTGCACGATGCTGATTGATCATATATGGACTTTGAAAGTCATGCCAGTCAATACCCACACATGCTTATCTGATTTTTTTTTGCAATTTTAAAAGGATATACTTCTCTCCCTCTCTCTCTCTCTCTCGCTCTTCTCGCTCCCTCTCTCTCTCGCTCTTCTCGCTCCCTCTCTCTCTCTCTCTCTGTTGCTCTCTTTCACTCTCACTCACTCACTCACTCACTCACTCACTCTCTCTCTCTCTGTCTCTCTCCCTCTCTTGTTACCCATATATATATATATGTATATATATATATATACATACCTACCTACCTACCTACCTACATACATACATACATAGATACATACACACATACATACACACGTATGTGTATATATTCGTTGAAAATACAATTTGGTTCTGTCATTTCTGTCGCAGTCGGTTGTGGCCCTTGCTTGTTAGGTGCGCAAGTTGGTGGAAGAGACCCGAGCTGAAGAGCGAGCAGCCGCAGCAGCAGCAGCACGCCAAGCCCTTGAGAAACCACGAGGGCCCACTGCCAGCGACAAAGGGACAGAGAAGACTGCACTTGAAAAGGTGAAGGCAGAGATGTCTGCAGCGCGTGTTGGTGCACTCACAGTCCCCGACGGGTCTGCTGTGCCAGAGCACGGGTTGCGGAATTTGGAAGCTTTGTTGCAACAGGTTGCTACGGAAGCTGCTACCACTAGCAGTGTTGGCTTGCTGGCCCAGGTCTTGGGACAGACTTTGGGGATGGGGGTTTGGGCATCGGGCTCTATTGGCACACCTCCGCCACCTCCGCAGCCCACGGAAGCAGAAGCCTTTTCCGACACCGCAGCGCCAACGAGGTTGATCTCATCAGAAGAACTCTCCCAGAAACCTGAGGTGCTGATATTTCCAAAGTGCTGATCTATTTATTATAGATGTATGACTAGATATGGTATGGGGTCCCTATTTATTTCACATGTCATGCTGTTTATGTTGGAAATTGGCTGAAAAGACATCAAGATTCAAGATCCTGATGTATTGCAACAGTTTTTCCATCCGCCGGCCCTGCAGCCTCCAACTCCTCACCGTGGAGAAGCGAAGGGCAACGCAGAGCTAGGCCCAGAGGACAAGTTCAGAAAAGGATCCATCTACAGCAAGGGACCGTAATTTTGGGCAAAACTAAGCATGTGATGCAGGGCCCGCAATCCATGATTAGTTCCATGCATCCCAGCTTAAGTTATTTAGAACATGGAAGATATCGCAATAAATTTCTTTGAAACATCAATGCCGTCAATGCGTAGGTTTGTTTTTCAGCTTGTTTGACTCATTTCCCGATTCCATCACCATTATTGGATATTATTGGCAATTCTCAGGTCCACTTTGCCTTCCTGAAGCGGGGTGAATTTCATTTTTCCCGACCTGCCAGGTGAGGGTCTCTAGATTTTAGCAAAACATCCAGCATGGTTTCTTGCCCCTGTCCTTCCTTCCTTCCTGTCTTCCTTTCTACTATCCTTCCTTCCCTGCTTCCTTCCTTTGCCAGCTTCCTCAGCTGATCATCGCCAGCTTCCTGGCCAGCTCCTGCTACACGGGTATTCTGCTGCTAGCTCGCCAGCTATCTGGGACTTGCTGGACTGGAACACCAGGCGAGCTTGCCATAAAAGATACCAGAGAGATTGTCAGAGCATGTATGTCAGATATAAGGCCAACAAAGACGCTAGAAAGACGCCAGAAGAATTATGGAAATACCTGCCAGGTAGGATGCTAGACAAAATCTCAGATGGATTGCCATATGCAATACCAAAAACAATGTTGAAATACACGCCGCAAAAAATGTCAGATGGGATGCTACTTATACTGCCAAATAAAATGCCAGATAAACTGCCAGAGCTACTGTCAGAACAAAAGTCGGGTAACTGTCAGAAGAAATGCCTGTTATACTCTCGGAATGCATGCCAGACAAAATGTCGGATAGACTGGGCCAGAGGAGATGCCAGGTAGATTGCTAGGTAAAAAGGCAGGCAGACGCCAGATAGATTTTCAGACAAATTGCCTGAAGAAAGGTCGGATAAAACGTCAGAAAGACTGTCACAAGAAATGCCGGATAGAATGCCAGAAAGAATGCCAGCAAACATTTTGGAACAAATGTCAGGGGAATTTTGCCTGATAGGCAAGAACCAGATAGAAGGCCAGAAGAGATGTCAGAATTGATGTGAAATTTAATGGCAGAGTGTATGTCAGATAAAATGTCGGAATACGTGCCAGATAAAATATCAGAAATACAACGCACATAGAATGCCGAATCAGGTGCCAGATGAAGTGACGACATAGATGTCAAATAAATATCGGCATGTTTGTCAGATGACGTGTCCTATAGAATGCCAGATAAAATGCCAGAAATTAAGAATGTCAGAATATATGGCAGATAAACTGTTCTAATACACATAAACATTATGTCAGGTAAATTGTCAGTTGGCGGGGATCACTTGAAGAAAGCAAATTACCCTAGCTGTAATTTCCAATCATCGACAGGACAAAGAGGAGAACATCCTTGACGAAGACACCTTGGAGCTGCCTGGGCGTGATTCGCCAGCCGACGCTGCTGCCCACACTCTTGTGCCCGAGCCTGATGGTGGTCCCTCGACCTCTGATCCCGTCTCTCCTGCCACTGTGGCCCCGCAGGATGTGGTGCCCAAACATGTTGCCTTGCCTGCCGTGCCGACAGCTGCAGCTGACGTTGCAGAGCCCAAGGTCCCTGCGCCAACACCCATTGCAGAGCCCAAACTCTCTGCGCCAACGCCCAGGACCCTGAAGGCTGCCGCCAGTGATCCAGCAACACCCAAAGTTTCTCGCAAACGTGCTTTGTCCGCCGAAGCCCCAAAAGCCGCACCCGCCCCGAAGAGGAGAAGTGGGAAAATGGGATCAGGAGTTGGACATGCTCAGCTCCGCAAGTTTACCAGGTCCAGTCCCCATCCAATTTTTTAGGAAAGGGGCAACATTCGTTCCCAATGTACTCTGGCGGAATTGCTGCCATGTCTAACAGTAGAGTTTTCATCGTTTTTTATTTCTTCACAAATTTGGGTCTCCCATGCGCCTCCCATACACCTCTCCCATACACCTCCCATACACCTCCCATACGCCTCCCATACGCCTCCCATACACCTCCTCCCATACACCTCCCATACACCTCCCATACACCTCCCATACACCTCCCATACACCTCCCAGACACCTCCCAGACACCTCCCATACACCTCCCATACACCCAAAACGTTTGTGTTTTCCACGTGTTTGGCCATTTTGGGATCCAGAAAGCTCGTGGTATCCCAAAACGTTGGTATTTTCAGGGTTTGCGCAGGAAAAAGGAAGAAAAAGCAGGAAAAATCGACTGTCGGGGCTGAAGAACAGTCCCCAAATCCCAGGTGCAATCTTAGCGCCAAAGATTTTCCAAGAGCTGACATTTGTTTTAGGGAGGCAAATGGTTTCCAGCAAGTAATATTTCTATATCCTTCTAGCTAGTCTTGTAGGACAAAGCCTGCAACTTAAGAAGTCCCAAGGTTCTGTGGTTTAGGCGCTCGAGATGTTTTTGGTGTCGATTGGAATTCTAAACATGAGTATGGATCAAAGTTGGCGATTTGAATTTGAATGGAGTCGGTAGCGACATCAGCCTTCCAGCGACGGTGATGATAATGATCAAGATGGTGATGGTGATGGAGATTCATTCGCGGCAAAAGAGATGACAATGATGATGACCATAGCCACCATGAATGTACATATGAATATTTCTGTCATTCTGGTTGTCAATCGTTTTCCTTCAAAAGGGGTCTTCATGAAACAGGTCTTCGCAAGTAAAGTGGAAAAAAGCAGAAGCACCCTGTGACTTTTGGTTTGTTGATTTGAGGTCCATGCGCCCTGACTGAAACCACGTGGTTCAAGTGATCCCCCAAAACTAATTCACTATGGCTGGCCCTTCTGCATCCAGGAAGGGAAAGGCTGCCCAGGACATCAGTTGAGACGGCTTGAGGCCGGCCCTGAGGGACGTTTGGCTAGAATCCAACTGATTGCATTTGATTGTTGAAATCTTTCCCTGCCGTGTTGGCAGCCTGGTTTGGACTGCAAAATAAAATTTGGACAGATGGGCTTAGTTTACTCACAGACAGCTCTGTTACCTCATGCGAAAACTTGATTGCAATGGCGGCCACTCCAGTGTGATGACCGCAACCTGTGACAGGAAGCGGCTGTGGTTCAACAGCGGACCAAGTATTGTGAGCAGCGATGCCTGATTCCCAACATCGCTGGGGGTTGAAGTTTCGTTCTGTTTCATGATTCTGGTCCTAGGACCCGCAAGTAAAGATCTTCCATGTGGGTTGGTAAACATCATCCGAGAATCAGAAAACATGAAGATAGCATAATTTGGGTGATTCCTGGTCTCAAAGGGGAGATTTATCCCAAAGAAAACATGGCCAGAATGATGCAGGTTAAATAGTTTAGACCACAATTCCAATCCAACAAGAAAGCAAGAAAGGGTGCATCTTTCTTTGATCTGGGAAAATGTCAATCAGTGTAGAAGAAGCCCTATGAATTTCTGTCAAGGGGCGCAGTCTTTCGTGAAGTGGAATTCCGCACTTGACAGTCTGATTAGCACTAGCTTGACAGTCTGAATCGCAGATCAACAAATAAATTGAGACTCCCCCTGGCGACAGATTTGCCGGCAAACGCGAGCTGAGTGCACTAAGAATGACGGTGCAATGGTTTTTCCGCTCAAGTTCATAGGTGGTGAATGGAGTGGCTCCCTAAGATTCTTGGGTTCATTTCCTCGGGGGTGAGCTCAAATTGGTGGGGGATCGCGTGCCCATCACACCGCTTTGGATTTGGATTTCCTGCAGTGATCCTTTCCCTCTCCCTTGGCCTGGCTCTTGGATTCATCCTCGGCTGCATCACCACTGCTTGGATTTTTGGACTTCTCCCTCTATCCTCTCCTGGCCGTCCTCCTGTTGATCATCCGGCTCCGGCCTTTGATAGAGTGAGGGCATATCTGGTGGATGAGCAGCGGGCCCAGCTCGCCAGGCAACGACGAAATCATTAGCCTGGCTGCCCAGTTCCAAGGGCTCGAAATCACAATCAGAGGCCCGGCCAACCGAGCTTGGAATCTTGCAAGGCGCCTCTCCACTGAGCAAGCTCAAGGAGCCACAGCAGAACAGGAGTCACTCTCTTCTGGCCATACTCCTTTCCCTGCTTGAAGAGTTCTCAGGGCTTGGAAGCTTGGGTGCAAAGCGAGGTGCCTTTTGGACGGAGTGCCCTTTGAAGATCAACCCATTGTCTCCCTCGACTTGCCTTCCAGCTTCTTTGTGGTCTTGCGGGGCAACGGCATCGATCAGCCGAAGATCCTACGGAGAGCCCGTGACTTTTCCAGGGCTTTGGAGGGAGCGGAATTGCCTGGTATTGGGCAAGGCTTCCCATCTGAAACAGAGACACGGGTGTACCTTGCAGGCGCAAGGTGTGAGCTTCCAGCAGATCGCTAGGAGCTATGGAGCCATCAATAGACGGAGGAGAACCTTTTCCTGTGCCCCTACATTCAGACTTTGGACCTTCAAATTACCGGCCCTACGTGCTGGATTTGGTGGGCGCTGGTCTTTTGGATCCAGGGGCACCCAATGTCATTGCTTTGGTTGTACTCACCCGGCAGACAGGTTTGCTATTAGCGCTACCGGAGTTAGCGTTGTCTGCAGAGGATCGAGAAAGCGGGGAGCTAGCATCAGCCACAGATCTCCTGGGGCCTTCCATCATTGTCGAAGTGCAAGCTGCTGCGTTGGACGAAGATGCCTTGCAGCAGCTACCACAATTGATAGAAGGCAAGGTCCTGAAAGTGGCTTTGGTGGATTTTTCGGTAGAGGTGTCCAACTTCATCACAGAGCTGGTTGTCAAAGAGGACATAGCCGAGCTCACTCCTTTCGACTTCATGGATTTCTCTTTGGTCCCAGATCCCGACAGTTTGGTGGCCAGAGCACAGGAGTGGGCACGAGGTGGAGGAGATGTAGTTTTGGAGAGGATCCAGTATTACTCTGCCGACGAGGTACCAGAGACCCCAGCTGCTCCTCCCCGGCCTGCAACAAGGCGAAGAGGGCCAGGAGCTGGTACCACTGGAGGAGGTCAGCCACCATCCAGAAGGAAACCAACGGTTGCCAGCCTGGCAGAGAGTTTGGAGGCCATCACAACTACACTGCCAGCCATCACAGCGTCCCTACAGGAGCTCAGAGAGAGAGCAGAGGCCATCGAGGCTCAACGCCCTCTGGACAGGCCATCTGCATTGAGGAGACCACTAGGTGCATCAGCTATGCCTGGATCGTCAGATCTCTCCACTCCTGCAGCTCAGTTGTTGAAGGAGATGCCGCGGCCCAAAAGTTCAGCTTCGAATGCCAAGTCCCCACATGTCACTTTTTCAGAAGGGGAAGCACAGGAGATGAGCCTAGAGATCCCATCAGAACCTCAGGACTTAGCCAAAGCCATGTTGGTCCAGTCGCAGGCACTCACGACTCTGGTGTCTCACCTCACAGCCACCTCATCAGACCCCTTTCAAGACTTGAGCTCAGCCTCGACCTCCTTGTCCACAAAGGGAGCAGTGAGCCGGGCAAAATTACAGGCAGAACTTGCTGCGCAGAAAGGGACATTCTTTGTCAGTGTTTTGCAACAGATGGCACGGAGGATGCAGCCAGCAGTTGCAGCAGAAGTCGAAATGCTGACTTTGAGAAACAGGGGCATTACTCCGACGCAGTACTTGGAGAGGATTGGGGGCTTTGGACGTTGCCGGGACATTGGTCTCATCACCTGGCAGGTTGCTCTGGTCCTCAACCACATGATGGAGGACAATCACCAAGCTGCAAAGGATGCCCTGAGTTTGTTGTTCGTGTGCCTGGAGCAGACTGCTATGGACAATGGGAACATGCAGGTGGGCCTCCTGTTGTCATTGACGGAGGACCCACCCCAGGCACTGTTCACCAACAAGTCGGTGATGTCAGCAGCCCTGCCTCGACCATTTGCCCCCACGGCTCACCAACGCTGGGTCACCACGGCGTTGCAATACTTGAAGGAGATGGATGTCATCTCGACCCGCAGGTCGGAAGTGGTTGCAGCTCAGACTGGAGCACATCGCACCAACAACAGCAACAGCAGCGACCAACCAGCAACCACTGCAGCGCCGAAAAAGAAGCAAAAGGGAAAGGGAGGTGGAAGGGGCCAGAAAGGCCAACAGACAAGCACACCACAAGAGGAAGAGCAGTAGCCGGTGATGATGCTCGGCTTGAGGAGGAGGTCTCTATTGCTCAAATCCTTTCAGCCCTCCCAAGATGGATCCTAAGGACCAGAACTCCATTTGCTGCCTTTCTTGCCAGGTCTTTCCACATCAAACGCTGTGGCTCTAGCCCTGCTTCCGCTGTCTTTCCAGTGCCTGCCCCGCATCTTGGACTTTTTGATGCTCAGGCTACCTCCAGGCTGAGTGCTCGCAAATGGACTCGACTCTGTCTTCAGCGAGCCTTGCATGTCGTTGTGATGGCTTTGAATTACATCCACAACGGCAATGCCTTTGTTCCCATTTCAGCCCTGGGGAGGAGACCGAATGCCAATCACCTGGCAATCTATGGCAGAATCAGGTCTCTTTTGATTTGCCCCCGGGTCGATCTGGTTTTGAATTCATTGCAAGATCGACCGAGCTTGAGCATTTTGCCAGCTCACATGAGGCCTTTTGTACTGATCTCTATGCAGGGGTCTCTGAGGAAGCACCACGACCGTTACAGGTCTGTGGCAGGATCGAGAAGGAGCATGCCTTTCAGACCAAGGAGAAGTTTTCACCAGTGAATCCCTACCGCAGTCTTCAAGCAGATCGCCTGAAGCTTTCAGGCACTGGGCAGTGGGACATGGCTGAGTACCTCACAGACATTTTGTGGCTTCCCTTCCTGGAGCCTGAAGTGCTCGCTCATGGTCGCTCTGGATGCCTCGATGGCCCTGACTTCAGCAGAGAGAACTATGAGCAGAACCTCGCGCTAGCGCGAATTTGGGATGCTAGAGGGCTCCTTGCTATCTTTCACAAGCCCCACCACAGTGGACTTGCGTGCAGGGTCTTCAATGCCCATAAGAACTCAACCACAGACAGACAGATTGGCGATAGGAGATGGTTCAACTCACGTGAGAGGCACGTTCAAGGGCCATCCTGTTTCCTACCTGCTGGGCCAAACATCTCCTCTTTCCACTGCCCCCTGAACATGCGGCTCATTGGTTGTGCTTCAGACCGGAAGGATTTTTATCATCAGAGCCTTGTTTCACGAGAAAGAGCCAGTTCCAATCAGCTCCCTTTTGAGTTCCCAGCTGATCTTTTTGGTAGCTCTGAGGCTTTTGAGGCTCTGGTGAATGAAGTGCAGAAGCCTGGGTCACGTGAAGAGGATGGAGATAGATATGGTAAGCCAAGGAAGAAGACAGTGAAACGCAACAAAATTTCCTCTGTCTGGCTTGGTTTCAAGAGCCTGTTCCAGGGTGATCACCTGGGAGTTGAGTTTGCCCTCTCCAGTCATGCTGAGCTTTTACAGAGGAGTGGTTTGTTGGCGGAGGAGTCATCTGTTTTGCGGCATCATCTCTTCCCCAAGGGCCCACTGTGGGAAGGACTGGTCATTGATGACTACTTTGCAGTTTCGAGAGAAAGCTTGAAGATCAGCCCTGAGGATTCAGCATCTGTCAGGTGCCTTGAGAAAGCTGAGGAGACTTACAAGGAGGCAGGCGTTTTTGGCTCTCCAGAAAAGATGATTCGAGGTGAGGAGAATTTCAAGGTCATTGGAGCTGAGGTCTTTTCAGACCATCTTTCTAGGTCAGCGGGTGTTGTGACCGTCTCAGCACCAGCTGCCAAAAGGATTCCAATGATCGCACTCTCACTGAAGTCAGCTGCGCTGCCCATCATATCAAAGGCCCTTGCATCAAGGCTTGCAGGGAATTGGGTCTCAGTCTTCATGTATCGGAGAGTGTGTAGCTGCATTTTGTCAAAGATTTTTAGCCTTGGGCCTCAATCAACAGAAGAGGCGAATGATGTTTTGCCTCTTCCCAGGGCTGTTGCTGACGAGCTCACGCTTGCCAGTGTTCTAGGGCTTGTCGCTGTCACCGACATCTCTGTGCCATATCACAATGAGATTTTTGCGACAGACGCTTCCATGCAGAAGGGGGCGATCACAGCAAAGCCCATTTCTGAGGAGCTCTCTGAAACCCTTTGGCTTGGAGGAGACAGAAAGGGAGCATACACTCTCCTTGACAATGAAGCTAGAAGCCAGTTGCGGCAGCTTGGGTGTGATGTTGATGCGGAGCCTGTAGCTGAAGATTTCCCTGCCCCACCAAAACAGCTGCCCTTCTATTGATGCGGTTGAGATCTGTGGGGGCTCTGGAGTTTTGTCAAAAGCACTTGCAGCCAGAGGACTTGAAGTTTGTCCGCCTATAGACCTCTCAAACAGCAAACACTATGACTTGCGAGATCTTAGGCTTGTTGAGTGGATCTACCAGATGATTGCCGAGCGTAGGTTCAAGAGTGTCATTTGCGAACCAGTGTGCGCCACCTTTTCACCAGCGCAGCACCCTGCGTCGCGCTCCTATGCGCAGCCTTTGGGTTTTGAGAGGACAAACCCTAAGACCTACCTTGGCAACCTCATTGCATTCAGATGCCTCTCTATCCTTTGGGTAGCGTGGAGGTATGCAGTGATCGCGCTGCTGGAGCAACCACAATTGTCAAAGATGGCATGGCTTCCTTTTTGGCAGTTTTTACTTCAGCTTGGTTTTGTGGAAGCAATCACAGACTCTTGCGTTTTTGGGAGCATTCATCGAAAGCCCTTTAGATGGCTGGGGTACGACCTTGACATGGCGAGCATCAATGCCCGCTGCACAGGTGGCCATCAACATGTCAAGATTGAGGGACAGCTCACAAAGGCTTCGGCGATCTACCACCCTGGCCTTGCTGATTTTATTGCTGACAAGATCTGCGCTGCCCTCAAACTGAGACATGCGGCCCTACCTGAACCAAAACCTGTGCAGATCGAAAGTGTCGTGCTGAATGATGTGTTGATGCAAGAGGGGTGGAAAACTATTGATGACTGGCACTGGAGGAAACCAGCGCACATTAACGTGCTGGAGAGCAATTCCCTTGTGAAGCTTTTTCACCACCTTGTGCAAAAGGGTGGTAGGCTGAGATTTTGTGCGCTACTTGACTCCAGAGTCGCAAAAGGAGCACATGGCAAAGGCAGATCATCAGCCAGAGCTTTGCGCCCCTCTCTTCTTTGGGGCTGTGCCTTGGCAATCGCAGGGAATCTCCACCCAGCTTATGGTTTTGCACCAACGAGGCTCAACACAGCAGATGCCCCCACCAGAAACAGATTGCTTCCTGAGCCTGCTCTCTTCTCAATTTTGGACTTCCTCTCTGAAAGGCAGGTTGCTAGTCTGCATTCCCGCCAGTTCTCCAGAGCTACAGCAGGATGGGTTCGGCTTTACATCCTTGTTGCTTTTTCCCCACCTGCCAGGTGAGGGTTGTTAGATTTTATGTCAGTTGCCTCCTCCTCCTTCTCCTCCTTCTCCTCCTTCTCCTCCTTCTCCTCCTCCTCCTCCGCCTCCTCCTGCCTCGTCCTCCTCTCCTCCTCCTCCTCGTCCTCCTCGTCGTCCTCGTCGTCCTCGTCGTCCTTGCTCAACTGCGACCCGCGATCCACAGTGTTCTCTGCCGGACCTCAACCACGACCATCCACGCCAGTGTTCCCTGCGGGACCTCAACCGCGACCATCCACGCCCAGTGTTCCCTGCCGGACCTCAACCGCGACCATCCACGCCCAGTGTTCCCTGCCGGACCTCAACCACGACCATCCACGCCCAGTGTTCCCTGCCGGACCTCAACCACGACCATCCACGCCCAGTGTTCCCTGCCGGACCTCAACCACGACCATAGAATGTCAGAAAGAATGTCAGAAAGAATGCCAGATAGAATGCCAGAAAGAATGCCAGATAGAATGCCAGATAGAATGATAGAATGCCAGATAGAATGACAAATAGAATGCCAGATAGAATGCCAGATAGAATGTCAGAACATATGTCAGATAGAATGCCAGATAGAATGTCAGATAGAATGCTAGATAGAATGCCAGATAGAATGCCAGATAGAATGCCAGATAGAATGCCAGATAGAATGCCAGATAGAATGTCAGAAAGAATGCCAGATAGAATGCCAGAAAGAATGCCAGATAGAATGCCAGATAGAATGACAAATAGAATGCCAGATAGAATGACAAATAGAATGCCAGATAGAATGCCAGATAGAATGCCAGATAGAATGTCAGAACATATGTCAGATAGAATGCCAGATAGAATGTCAGATAGAATGCTAGATAGAATGCCAGATAGAATACCCGATAGAATGCCAGATAGAATGCCAGATAGAATGCCAGGTGGAATGTCAGAATATATGTCAGATAGATTGCCAGATAGAATGCCAGAATATATGTCAGATAGAATGTCAGAATATATTCAAGATTTGTCCAAATATACGTCCTGACATGTCCTGACATGTCATGGTGGGGATCACACGAAGTAAAGTAATTGTCTCTGTCCTGGCCATGGATTTTCAGATAGCTCCCCTGCTCAATGTCTCGGGTTTTGGACTTACGCCCAAATAATTCTGCCCATTATCGGACTTGGATTTTGCCTCTTTCTTCGTCCCCTCACCTCTCAGGTCTGGACTTCTCTTTGGAGCTTGCCCCGGGGAAATGAAAGGTTTAGACCCAAAATTAAATGGAGCCTGATTTTTAGGGTAGTTTTCGCTAATCTCGTTCTCAGCTCATGCGCCATGCCAATGCAGCCGTCTGGAACTGGAGAAGCAGAAAGAGCCGAACGACGTAGTGGAGTCGTTCTGCAAGCTGATCGCGTTGTGTTGCAACAAACACGAGACCGACGTGAAATTCTCCTGACAGCGTTCGATACATGGCTGGCTGAAAACTGCAGGACAACCCTTGAGGCCCTTTTAGAGCCTGGCAACATCGACTATGACGAGGTTGCTGAGATGCTTGTTGCGTATGGCAAGGACATGTATCAGGCTGGAAAGTCGTATGGACGTTTCAGCGAGACCATCAATGCTGTCACTGCGAAACGCCCCAGCCTGCGACGCAATATCGCAGTTGCTTGGGATTTAGCATTCAACTGGGTCGTTGACGAACCTCATGAACACAATGCTGCCATGCCATTATCAGTGATGATAGCCTGTGTGACACTCTCACTTCTCTGGGGTTGGACACGTGAAGCAGCAATCATTTCAATGACATGGAGTGGTGTTCTTAGGATTGGTGAAGTCTTGGCATCGAGACGCCAGGATTTGGTTTTACCAGAAGATGCGGCACCAGGACAACAGTCAGCGCTGCTGATGATCAGAGCCCCCAAGACACGGGGTCGGGCTGCGCGTCACCAGTCCAGCAGGATTGACCCTGAAGACGTTGTCAGATTGCCGAGTGCCGTTTTCAGACCTTTGGCACCTTCAGCTTTACTCTGGCATCAGTCCCCCGCTACGTTGAGGCGAAAGTTTGCTTGTCTGCTAGCAGCACTTGGCCTGGCGCAAAGAAGGGATGGAACTTTCCAGTTTTCCTTGTTCCTTGCGACCAGGTGGAGCCACGTACTGGCTAGCAGCCACCGAGGATGCAGAGTTTGTGAGGCGAAAAGGAAGATGGCTATCAACAAGAGTGCTTGAGATATACTTGCAGGAGGCTTCTGTTAGCACCTATGATCGAAGCCTGTCTTTAGAGACGAAAAGCCGGATTAAGAACCTCTGCAATGTATACTCAAGCGTGCTGGAGAAAGCCATTTTCTTCAAAAGGACTTTTATTCCTGAGACAATCTGGCCGCAGTTGTGGTGATGCGGGAAAGTTGGAAGTTTGGCCTTGGATGCAACATTTTGGCATGAGCCAACCTGTTTCACTAGAGCAGCCTCCGACAAGGTGTGGAAAATGGAATGGAGCTGGAATTCTTGAGTGCACTAAGAATGACGGTGCAATGGTTTTTCCGCTCAAGTTCACCCTACCCATGTGCTGCACACCCCTCCCTGAAGCACACCACTGCGGCCTTGGATGCAACATTTTGGCATGAGCCAACCTGTTTCACTAGAGCAGCCTCCGACAAGGTGTGGAAAATGGAATGGAGCTGGAATTCTTATGTAGCTGCAGCGGCTGGTGCGGGCAGCCGATTTTGCAAGATCAGGTCTTTCAGTTTATGTTTTGTGGACGCTGACCTACTTACTGGTTGAATTTTTGTTGATTGATTCGTCTGCCCGCCTTTTTCAAGGCAACCTGTGGCGTCGCAGGGGTTCAACAACTTGTGTTTGATATGTTCCATGACCAGGCATCCATCGTTTTCCTGAGGGTAGCCAGTTCGTTGACCATTCTTTTAAGTCCTGCGGCGGAAACGGTTCGTGGTAAGTCAGCTGTGGCTTTCGCCGCCCCCTTCGGCCTGTGTGAACCCAGCCATGCATCCCGGGAAGCGAAACCACTTTTGAGCTTTGCTGCCTCGTCGCACAGTTTAATTTTGCGAGCGCGCGAGTCCTCCTCGTGAAGTCACTGGCCGACCGTGGGTTTCTAGTTTACAAGTGCTTTAACCTGTTGTGGGGCAATTATTCCATGGGCACTTATTCCATGTCTAGTGGCGCTGGACACTTTATAGCCCTGCTTGTAGCCAGTGCAGATGTGAAATGACCCGCAAGCTTACACGTGTCTTTTTTAACAAACAGCCATTTTTTAAATACCTATGCCTACCTGACATGTTAGGGTTGTGTCAGGCTTTGTTGCGTGACCCATTCTTTTGCCAGAGACCGGAGGCCTCTCAGTCTCACACATATGTCAGGAGGCAGCAAAGTAAGTGGCAAGCTTTTGCAAGAAATTAAAGTACCGCGGGAGCAAGTGTAATTGCCAGCGGAAAAATTATGGACTCGAGCAGCAGAGGGAATCACCTGTAGGATTGTACCTGAACCACGCGATGTGTCATATGGAAGAGCCACGGCCCTTAAAAAATTAAAGGCGGCCTATACTATATGCATGGCTTTTACGAAGTGCCCGCGCTGTAATTAACGATAATCACTAGACTCAAACTAAGTTTTTCCACAGCTGCCAGATGACGGTCTCTAGGTTTTCACAGCAGGTCTCGCGAGCTTCCTTCCGTCCTTCTTTCATTGCTTCCTTCCTTCCTTCCTTCATTCCTTCCTTCGTTTCTTCTTTCCTGCTTGCCTCCCTTCCTCGTTTCCTTCCTACCCTCGCTTCCTTCTTTCCCTCTTCCTTCCTGCCTTCTTCCTTCCTTCCCGCCTTCCCTCCCTCCTCGCCAGCTTCCACGTCAGCAGGTCATATCCAGCGTCTTTGTCGCCGGCTTGTTGCTGTTCGGGGCTCGCCGGACCCTAACAGTACCCCGCGCTCTTGAACTTTGCGGAGCTCGCCGGACCCAAACACTCTGCCAGATAAAATGTCCTGCGAAATAAAAATGTCAAATGGAGTTTCAGAATATGTCAGATAAAATGCCAGACACACTGCCAGGTGGAAAGTGAAAAGATTTGTCAGAATATATGTCAAATAAAGTGTGTCAACTAAACATGCCAGAAATAATGTCAAAAGAAATGCCAGGCACCATATGTTGTGGAATGTCAGAACATGTCTGAGTATATGTCAGGCCAAATGTAGGAAATATGTTTAAAAGAAATATCCGACAGAAGCCAGATAAAAAATCAGACAGAAAGGCAGAAAGCTAAACAAAATGCCAAATGAAATGCCACAAGCAGCTATATGTCAGAGAGAACGAATGTCAGATAAAATGCTGGAATATGAATATGTGTCAAACAAAATGTGCAAAATAAAATGCTAGATGGAAAAAATGAACACGTCAAAATATATGTAAAAAGACAATGTCGGAACATTTGTCAAACCGTCTGTCTGGATTTATCTCCGTTGGATTGTCAATTGGTGTGGATCACTCGAAGGAAGTGTAGCTTTGATCCTGATCATTAAAAAAAAATGCGAGTGGCAGGTTGTCGAGGTTGCAGCCCTCACGG